ACCACTGACTGACTGCCTGCCATGCGGCAGACAAGTATCAGACATGAGGAGTTCATGGCAAATGCCTTAATTGATTGGTAACTGATAATTAGGAGCCTGGGGCTGATCATCATCTTCATCCCACAGGCTCATCTTAGTCTCAGAGCAGCAGGCTCAGGGGGATAATTAGGCCCAGTTTGCAGATGAGGAAACTGAGATTCAATCTCAAGTCCATCTGACTTCAGAGCCTCTGCCTTCCACCCGCAAGCCTTAGACTGAACATCAGGAAAGGCGCAGAGTGCTATCCCAAACCTCTGGGCTCCACTGTACAGTGAGGACACAGAAATGCAAATAAGGCGGGGACGGATCAAGGGCAATGGAGCCAGGCACGGGTGTTGTGGTTCCCTGAGGAAGGAGAACTGGAGAGTCACGGAGGGCTTCTCAGTGCAGGTATTGAAGGGTGCTGAGAAATGAGCCGGAAGAACAAAGCCTGAGTGCAGGAGGGGAGGGAGTAAGGGAGGTTCTAGGAAGAAGATGCAGGGTGAGAAGAGAGACCAGGAGATGAAAAGGCAGGACCAGCTCCCCAGGCACCTGACAGGGGGCAGAGTTCAGGCTTCATCCTGGAACTGCAGCCCGGGCTGAATTCACCTCTAGCAAGGGACGTGTGGCCTTTCTGTGCTGGTTCACGGAGCCACAGGGTTGCTCAGCTGCCAGCTTTGCAAAGCCAGGGATTGCACAGGACAGTTCACATCTCTGACTTCTTTAGAAAAATTCGAGGACCTACCACAGGCTCTGGCACTGTTCCAAGGGCACTGTCACTGCCTCAGTCCCACTGTCCCATGTGTCCATGAGCCCTGTCACTCTCATTCACAATTACTTACCAGACCTGTGATTGTGACCACTTTGAACACAGAATGAGACTTAGTAAAAACTTGAAGGACATAAGAGTCAACGTGTTTAGAAACGTCCATCTGCTCCTCCTTGGGACGGAGGACTGGTAGAAGGGAGACCACCCCTCCACCCTACAGTTCACCTGTTAACACCTGCAGCATTGTGCAGGGACTGCAGATCCCTAGGAATGAACAAGACCAATGAAATCTGGTAAGGAAGCAGCTTTCTAGAGATAGGAAACATCAACATGTGATGACAAATTGTGCCTCCTGCCACAAAGGATGTGGCAGAGCAGTGGCACGGTCACCTAGAGGTTCCAAGATGGACGGCCAGAGGAGGCTCCTCCAGGGAGACGCAGGAGCTGAGCCTGGAGGACTGGGAAGGCAGCTCCCTGGATCTGGGCGAGACTGTCCAGGCGGAGGGGACAGCCTGGGCAATGGGCCAGCGCAGGAGGGTCTTGGGTCATGGGAGGACTTCAGCGAGAAGCTTGACAGGGATGGATGGGAGGAGAGCAAGCAGATGTGGCTAGAGGTCATAGAACAGTCACTGCAAGCCAAAAAACACCAGAGAGTGGAATGTTCTTCTCCAAGCAAAGGGAAGGCAGGAAAGGGACAGGGACTAAAGCCACCTAGGTGACCATATTCAACAGCTCGTGCTGGCTGCTCCAAGCAGAGAAGGTCAGAGAGGGGCTTGTGCGGCGTTTCAGGCAAGAACTGAGGAAATGGGAAGAAGCTCCCAGTTCTAGAAGCCAGCATGTGGGCCTCAGTGGATAGGGTACAGTGTGTCTGGGGAGTGGGGAAAGGAATCGTCAGAGATGTGCATGTGTCCAGCTCAGATGAATGGCTGAATGTGGAGCCTGCTCTGGGCTGGACTGTGTACTCCTAAATTCATGTGCTGAAGCCTCAACCTCCAGTACCCCAGAACATGGCTGTACCTGGTTATTATTGAGGTCATTAGGCTAAAACAAGGTCATTAGTGTCAGCCTGAATCCAGTATGGTCAGTGTCCTTAGAGAGTAGATTAGGATACCAACAAGTGGAAGGGAGCCCCTGTGAAGACCAGGAGGATTTGGTCATCTACACGGCAAGAACATGCCAGTCCTACAGAAGCCTTCATCTTGGACTCCAGCCTCTAAAACTGAAGAAAATAAGCATCTGTTGCTTAAGCCACCCGTCTGTGGTAGTTTGTGATGGCAGTCTCAGGACACTAACACAGTCCAGGTGGGACAGGGAAATGACAGGTAGGCATGAAACTCCCCGAGCCTGACAGAGCATGAGGCTCTCAGATACAAGGCCAGACGTGCTGTGGTCAGAGTGAAGGCCCCAATCTGGAATTGGACTGCAGGTGGCTCTGATGTGGTGCGGGTGGAGGGGACCTGGCAGTCACATCAATCAATTGGCTGAATCAGGAGCAATCAATCGGCTAAAAGCTCAGAGCATAAAAGCATCATTTAAAAAGGCTTTAAAACTACAACAGGAAATAGGAGCATTCTTGGACACTGCAGAGATAAGGTGTTGTTTACTTAGCTGGCTTGGGTTTCTTTGTTTTTGTCTTATTTACGAGTGAAGCAATGTGAGCATTTTTCTAAAATAATGACAGTCAACGTTGGAGAGGAATAAAGGAGAGGTTATGGTAAAAAGAAAGGACAATGAATAACGTGACACTTTTAGAAAAGAGGGAGGGAGGGAAGGAAAGAAGGAAGGAAGTAACTCTAGAACGCAGCAGAAAGAATCAGCTGTGGACAAAAGTGACAATACAAGGCATGTTTGCAGGGTTCCTAGGGGGACATCTCTGAGACCTAGCATTTCTCTGGGAAATAAGAGGTGAAAGGCACCTGCTGAGATTCAGAGTAGGGGAGGACTGGAGTGGGAAGCAGAAGGGGGACAGAGAGGGGACTGGGGACTGTGACTAATGCAGAGTCACCCTGAGGGCCTGTGCTGAGGGCAGAGGCTACACTACATCACATCGCTCCTCCCCTCAGCCGGGCGACTCTCTCCAGCAGGCCATGAGTCAGAGAGGGGAAGCCAAGACGGGGGTTCCCTGGGACTGGGTCTGCAGGGAGCTGGCGAGGGAGATTAGAAGTGGAAGATCTAAGGAGAAAGGACCTGGGATGAGCATATCTAGTAAAGGGCAGATGGCTTGCAAAGTGGGGGTTCCAAGTCACTTGGTGAGAATAAATCTTCTTATGTGCAGGCCCAGCAGAGCAGGAGCAGAGCTACAGGGTAGCCAACCTCCAGAGTCCATCTTGGGTGGAAGATCGGTCAGAAGCCAGAGAACCAGGAGAGGAAACAGCATCTCAGGATTCAGTAAAAGACAACATGCCCCACAACACACAAGATGGCACTTCACCTGCAAGACCTGAGAGCCCTCAGGCCTGGCTCGCACTCTCTGCCTGAGTTGAGGGTCTCCCATGGAGGCCAGAAGATGCAAGGGTGGGTGTCCTCTTCTGAGAAACGCAGGCTATTCAATGTCATGTGAGCTATACTGACACCATGACTGGGTGGAAGGTCCACCATATTTACCTTCAAATTATTTTCAATTTCTGGAATTACCAGATGTACGAGTGGCAGTCCATGGGAGGAATCTAAAACATTAATCTCTCTGTGCAGCAAATAACAATGTTATGCCCACCACAACCATGCCAAGCACAGAGGTGGCTCTTTTCCTACCTGCATGACATCACCCAATTCCCAAATGGAGAGGATTCCAGCCGGAAGGTAAGGGACTCTCACCACCTGACTGGTCAGTGTGTTTCAGGGTCTCAAGTAAGGAGGGAGCCGTGTTTCTAACTCCCACTGCAGCCTGATGTTCTTAAGGAGTCACTTTTGGGGAGAGAGACATGGTGCTTCCAGTTCCACTTTGTTTATTTTCAGCAATGCTAATCACAAGCCTTTGTGGTGGCAGGCAGAGGTCTTGTTTGATTTCTCTACTGGTCCCTTTGCTTGTTATAAAAATCAACAATAAATAGAACAACTTAAAGTCACACAAATGGAATTCCAGGGCCCAAAAGAGACTGCCCATAAAGTGTTGTTTTCAGTCAAAAACAATTCAACAAAGATTCTGTTAATGGGAGAAATCCAGTTATTGCTTCAGTTTGGGAGAACCATCCACGTTGCCATTTGGAAGCAATACTGCCATTCAGCTACCGTGGGAACTTAATGATGAGGACATTCTTTTTTCTACAAGGGGGTACTTAGAGGCAAACAGTGATGCTTAAGTTGATTATATAATTTGGCAAAATACTTTGTGTGTGTATCTACACACACACACAACACACACACACACACACACACACACACACACACACACACCAAGATAAATATGCACAGTAATAGGTCCAAACCAGTACTTTTTTCCAAGGGATATTTGAAAGTTTATAATTTTTTTTGTCACTACAATTGAGTGGAGGGCCATGCCACTAGCCAATGGTAGGTACAGTCAGGATGCTGCTGAACACCCTACAGCAAGGACAATGCCTCTTTCAAAGCAAAGAATGACCTTCCCCCAACAGCACTGTTGCTGGGGGTGAGAAACTCTTGTCTACACAATTCCCTTGTCCTGGGCAAAAGGGCATCCAACCTTCCTATAGCTGGAAACATCAAATTAGTAAATATCACACTGGCAAACTCAGGACAGCATCTTTCTGGAAACTACCACATAAATGCTGAGTGACACATAGTACCCACACTGCCTTTGTGAGTGTGTGTGTGTGTGTGTGTGTGTGTGTGTGTGAGGTCACACTCATGCATGTGCAGAGCACAGGATTTCAGGTAGCACATATCAGGACCCACAGCCTGTCTTGGCTTGGACGGTCAGCACCCTCTTCTGACTTTGTCATGAGCAGGCAAACAAACAACAGATCAGGAAAAAGCGGCTGAACTTTGATGACTGGTCAAATAACATAAGCCCTCCTATTATGGCCTAGCGGGTAAAGAACATCATTGATCTTTCTATTTACTAAAGAGTCACATGATGCTCTTCCAATCCTTAGTAAATGCATTACATTTAGATTTCTTTACAAAATGGAGATTTTGATTTTCTTTGGAAAGTCTGACAGTTCATTTTCGAGCATCAAATAACACAGTGTCACACACAAATGAGAGGGGGCACTGGAGTGACTGTGCGGCTTACCGTTCAGCCATTTGGAGTTGTACTGGGCCGTGCGGAGAGGCGGCAAAATCCCCAGGCTTCGGTAAATGGCGGGATCACGCCCTGGGAAATCCATGGCCGTTGCAGCATAGAGCTCTCCACCAGCCGTGAGCAGAGCCGTGGAGTTGTGCTGGGGACTGTATGGACAGCGTGCCATGCCACTGATCTGGTCATGGATCTCGGTCAGGTTACTCAACTATTGTGAAGACAATGGGGGCAGCAGTTAGACTCCAGGAACCCTTAAAAGGTGCTGGTGGACCCCGTCTCTGTAGTTCTGAGTAAAGAGTGTGCAATAAACTCTCTGGGATCATAGGAGATGACAAACTTTCACACTCCAACTTCATGAAGACAGCCCTGTGGTCGGGACTGGAGAACCTATCATTCACTGTCTGTCTGCTTCCTTTAGAGCCACTGCACCTCATGCTACTGAATATCCACAACATGTGAAGTGAGATTATTGTATTTATGGTTCTGATTTATAATACATGAGTGCTGCTTATTTTCACCTTTGATGAAGAACCCCACTTCAATATCGGTAGATATATAAATCACAATAAAGGATTATATACAATTTGATCAATACAAACTGTGGATAAAAAGATTGCAAGTAGCCCTAAATAATGTGTTCCTGGTAATGACAGGTGGTGTGTGGACCATGTATGCGCATCCCTGTAATATATTTTCCTCTCAGTTGAGAGCCACAGGGGTGTCCTGGTATCATCTTGCTGAGTACAGCTTCCCAAATGCAGGATTCCTGACAGTTACTGAATGAGAGGAGCTCCGTGGAGGTTGTAGAATCTGGCAAGAACCAATTTGGGTCCTAACTCTTAACTGAGAGTGAACAGTGCAGAGGGTGCCAGCGGAGGTGCAGGCACGCGGCTTGTCTACTGTTGGATATCTGGCCCTGCGGAAGTTACTCAAACTCTCAGACTCTTTCATAAAACAGGCCCACAAAGAGGAGCCACCTCACTGGGTAGACATCGAGGACTGAGACACTGCTGACGTCAAGCACTGAAGTGTGTGTGGAGCCTGGGATCTCTCTGGAACATGGTCTCCTAGGGTCCGCCTCCTCCCTTAATTCCCAATAACTGATCGTTAAGTTATTTATTTATTTATTTATTTTTTTAGTTGTAGATGGACACAATACCTTTATTTTGTTTATTATTTTTATGTGGTGCTGAGAATCGAACCCTGTGCCTCACACCTGCAAGGCAAGAGCTCTACCACTGAGCCACAATCCCAGTCCCTGATCATTAAGTTTTAAAGAAGGAACAGTAGAAACATGATGAATTAAGGTTGGGAGAGAAGTTGCCCTACCGGAGATTAACATAGTGGCATTTCTCATTACATACCCTAAGAAAAATTAAATTAATTCTCTGATAAAGAAGATATCAGGCATGCGTGCTGATACTGCCATGCTCCTACAATGGGACCGACCTGTCTACTGAAGATCCCTGTCTGGAACAACAGGCTCAGAGAGAGGATCAGTTGTACCTTTACTTCACCCTTCTTCATATTTGTTTGCTCGCTCTCTCTCTCTCTCTCTCTCTCTCTCTCTGTTTTACATGCTTTTAATCCAATTTATAGATTATATTTTCTTCCTCTGGATTCTGATTTTGATACTTAAACAATATCTCTTAGATAAGAAAAACAAAGAATATGCTTTGGATTAATGTTTAGGGTCACTGGTAGGGAAAATGCTAATTGAAATAGTTTAAAGGACCAATAACTATTTGTTTCCTTTATTATTAGCATTTTCAATTAGAAATAAATCAAAAATTAGATATTTATTTTATCAAAATTGTTTTTAAATTAAAGAGAACCCCCTTGCTGTATAGAAATGCACTTAGGGTCTGGACAATCTGCAAAGCTAAGTTCTGGCGACTCCCATGCAGCCTACCGAGCGGTTGGTGCACACCGGTGTGAAGGCATTTGTTCCACAGGTGAAGAGCCGATCGCCACCCACCAAAAGCACCCGGATGTAGTTCTGACACTCCTCCTGGAAAAGAAAAGCACAAGAGACGATTGACAAGGCCTCTAAGGAAGAGGAAGAGAAGCATGAGTGCATTTTTTGTCTGGCTAATAAAAAAATTAATAAGCCTCTGAGATATTGACCAAAAGTCACAAAAAATGTTAATCTGGCTTTCCATATCTACAGACTAGTTCCACAGAAAATATTCATAATGATATAAGAATGTTCAATTAAATTCTCAAAATTTGCATCTTCTTTTGATCATCATGAGTTCATTTTGAATTGTAGTGCAAACTTTATATTTTCCTGGGCATGTGTTAGGAAAATAAATAAAAGGAATCTATTAGATGCTGCTCGTGAAACAGAGTCTTGGAAAACCTTCCTGGCACTTCATAAAAACCTTGTAAATGCTTCTTCACTAGGAAGGTTATATGTAAAACTGTCAAGAACTGGAACAAGTTTTTCTTGAGAGGCTCGAATTGTATTAAATGCACAGGAAATATCTATAGACTCTATTAACTCATTGATTGACAAGCAAAAATATTACTAATAAAGAAGGGTTTCCCCCATGCTGGGGAAAATCTAGAGACGGGTTATTTTTTGTGGTATGGCCATAGCAGTGACAGCTGTGTGAGCAGGAGACAGCTCTTCAGTCATTCATCGGCTACTGTCCAGCAGGCACAGTGCTAGAAGTCACAGTTAAGGCCGAAAAATTAGAAGGGTTATAACTTTGTCTATAGAGCTGTCCACATGCTATAATGAGGCTGCACAGAGGAACATCCTGTTACTCAGTTCCAAAGGGGAAAGGAAGAATGAAGCGGTGGGAAGGATTCCTGAGGAGTTGACCCCTTTGATGCGTTTTAAAGGAAGAAGGAGATTGCGTGTGGCTTCCTGGAGGAGGTGCTTAAAGGGTACATGCCAGCCTTTAGTGAGAAAGGAGGGAAATCCCATCGGGTCAGATTAGGGTACTGCACTGGGCTGAGGCTTGATGGTAAGGGAAAGCTTAGTAACTTCATTGGAACAGAGAAAGCAGTGCATACGCTGGGGGCGAGACCTGGGCCAGCCTAGAGAGTGTGCATTTTGTCCTGACACTGAAAGACCCATTAAATGCTGTTAGTGAGTGACATTTTGAATTGAGCTCATGCTTCCCATTAGAGGACACTGAGATTCGATGTGCAAGATAAGATAGACATGGGGAGAATGAAGCAAAGGGGCGTGTGGGAAGCCCCTTCATAATTCCCACTCTGTCACTTCATGCCTGGACCAAGGTGTCAGATGTGAAAGGACAATGCCAGAACCTGGCAAATCAGCAGGACATAGAGATAGGGGCACAGGTGACATCTCATGGTGTCCTGATAATTGAATCACGTACTGTATGAACTCAGGACAGTGCAGATCCTCTGGCAGAACAGTCCTCCCTCAGCCCAAGGGAAGCCCCATCTCAAATATGATACTGATCTGCAGAACCCACAGCCTGCCTCTGACAAGGAAAAGCACCCAGATACTGAGTCTGCTTTTAAACATGTATTGAAATACTATTACTAACAAGGGTAACAACAAACCATCACTGGTTGATAAAATGAGAAATAAAAAGAAAAAACAACAAACAAACAAAAAAGAAAGATCTCAGTTAACTTCAAAGGAGTCAGGAGTGAACAGAGACAGTCACGTTGGCGACTGGGAAGTTGAGGCAGCCTGAGAAGCATGTTGCTCTCTGACTTCCTTAAACTGGGGAAAGGGCAGCAGAGTCCCAAAGTCAAAGAGTCAAGCACAGGTATCCGCAGAGTCCCTTCCCAGGCTGGGAATAGGAGGACGTGGCAGAAACCCCACTCTGCCAGAAGAGATGCTCGGGAGTTTCTGCAAGCATGACATCCAGTGAGAATTAAAACAGGAAATGTGCCTGCCCAAGGGCCTGTGATGGGTGACATCTTCCAGAGCACAGGGCAAGTGTGCCCAAGGGCCATGATGGGTGACAGACAAGATAATGACGCCATGGTAGAGAGCAGGACGGAAAATCACCAAAAGTGCAGAGGACAGGGGATTTTGTTTTTTTGTTTTTTTTTTTGTTGCTGCTTTTGGAGCTGTTTTAACAACAAGATGAGATGGAAAGGAACATTTCTTTTTTTAAAGCAAGAGCCTCCGTTGGGTACAAATGTACCAGGAGCAGTCAGATAAGCAGGGACAACACAGTCACAGATGAATTATTCCAAGAAGGTCATGCAGACTGAAAAGATACGGTCTTGCAGCGGAGTTCTACAGGCCCGGTGGAAAAAGCAAGGGCCTCTAGTTGATTTTGGAAAGGGGAACAATCCAGATATAAAATGAGGGGGGGGGGGGGTTGCTTATCTCAATCTCATTCAAGAAAAACAAAGAGCAAATGAGATTGTAGGTTGCAACATTCCTGATGGCCCATGAGAAGCCTGACGAAGAACTGGAAAGTAGGTCAGTCGTGTGATAATCAGGATGCAGCAGCATGTGTGCCAGAGAGGCCGGTTGGACAAAAGGGGCAGTCTAAAATCCCAGAGGACACAGGGGATGAGAAGGATGCAGAACTGTTGCAGGAGAGCAGAGGATAGAAGAATGCACTGGGCTGCTCCCTCTAATGGGCTCCTCTTTGCTGCAGGCAGGGAGGGAAGGAGGAGGTCAATGTCAGGGATCAGGGCAGCCAGACAAGGTGGCCAGTGAGAATCTTTCTAAGGGGATGGAGGACAGACCCAGCCTTGTGGAACCTGGAGACACCTACGACGATGTGGAACCTGCTGAGGGTCCTGGGGCAATGTTCTAATGGGCCTGGTCACAGTGAGCTCCAAAGGCAGAGTGCAGGAGGAAGAGTCCAGGTCAAGGTGTGCTCACTCAGGTCCCTGAGGAGCAACCTGTGAAGGCCAGTGGAGGCTGCACCTCTGCTGTGTCATCAAGACATGAGGCTCAGATAGGCTCAGGTTCTCCCTGTGCTCACCTTCTGAAAACTCACTAACTGTCTCACCTGAAATCTAAACAAATACACACACTTAAAGCAATAATTTCTTATAAAGAGAGATGGGGGCAAGTACAAGCAGGAAAATGCAAAAACAGAAAAGGAAGAAAGTTGAGGTACTCAGCTTCTGAGCACAGTTACATTTAGGAATGAGAGGAAATGGCATAGAGTGCAGGCTTTGCAAGACCGAGCCTACTCCTGCAGGCGGTTCGAAGACACAGATAATCCGGTGGAAGATGTACCAGCAAATCTCTCTGTTAATCCCTGCTCCCCACTCGGCCTTCTCTTGGGCTATGGGAACTTGCTTAGAGCAGTGTTTGGAATCACCACTTTCAACTACAGGCACCGTCTGTGCAGAAGTCCCTGAGGATTCTTTTAAAGGTTTCTCTTATAAATCAGCATAGTTAAATACCTATGCTTTTCCTTTTCTCATCTAAGAATTCTTTGGTTTATTCCGTTTCTCTACCTTAAAAATGGGTTAAGAGGATTTAATGAATTCTACTTCTCCAGCATGTGCTAGTGCACATCTCCCCGGCCACAGCAGCCTGCTGCTACATGGCTTCTGGTTGACACTGAGCGCTGCCAATGGACATTTGGATAATAACACTTGAATATTAAAGGGACCCTTGTGTGATCCACCTGTCCTTGACTCCCAGCAAGGGAGTCTATGAGACTAGATAGCCCAAATGCAAGGTCCCTGACTCAGAAGGGGCTTTCCAGAGGGATGGGTAATGCCCACGTGGTTTCAAGGACATGGGTCCTACACCCAGACCCTGGAGAGAAAGCACATTTTAGGGCTAATTTCTTAATGAGTGAAATGGTTGTGTTTTACAGACACAATGGCTGTGGGGTTTTTTTGCCCCTCAACAGGTCTGTTCTGCTTTAAAAACAAACAAAAAAACCTACCTATCTGTGTAAACAGAAGACCTGCAAAAAGAGCAGACCCCTTAGTGTCACCTGAGAAGCACCCAGCTCATCACAACCTATGGATTCCAGGGAGGAGGGGTTGGGTTGGAAGCCTTCTGGCCTGAGGCCAACTGGGGCATTCCTGGTGACAGTACTGGCTTTCTCTTGATGCATTACCTCTGTGAGCACCCAGAGTGCTAAAGAGCAGACATTTATAGTAATAGCAGGAACCTTTGAAAAGGGGAATATACACTGACCAAAGTCATGATTACCAGATGACTCAAAAAAAAAAAAAAAGAAAGAAACACATAGTGTCCAATCAGATGTGTGTGTGTATTGAAACATGCATATATGTACATACATGTTATAGATGCAATATATAGTACTCCTAGGTATACATGGGGATTGGTTCCAGGAACCCTAAAGATACCAAGATCTCAAGTCCCTCATAAAAAAGAGGTAGAATTTCTGTATGAACTCTGTACATCCTCCCAATTTGAATTGGGAGTTTGAATTATCTCTGGATGAGTTATAACACCCAATACAATGCAAATGATATGTAAATAGTTGCTGTATTGTTTAGGAAGTAATAAATGAAAAAAAAAAATCTGTGCATATTCAGTACAGATGGGACCACTGTGGTCCTCACTCCACAGCACATGATCCTGGTTGGTGGAACCCAAGAATGAGGAGGCTGTGACTGTACATATAAAGAGAAAGAGGAATAAATAAGCACACACCTGTGTATAATTGTATATTGTATGCTACATGATGTATAGTGGCTTAATATATTAAAATATTCTGTGTATATTCTCAACTGCACTGACTCTGTAGGATACTTAAATACCTTGATAACAAAATAAAAAAAAAATTTGGTTTGCATCATCTTAACATGATGTTAGTATTTACCTAAAACACACTCTATTTTCAAAATTATTAAAAAGAACAGAGGTGGTTCTATAGTGTGTCACACACACTGATTACAGCTTTCATAAATGTTTAGGCTTCGGATGAAAATGTCAACCACCAAGTTGTTAGGCAGGGGGTGTCATGCCTTTCCTCTCCTCATCCCTAGGAGTTTACCTCTTTACCAGATGCTTTGGCAACTCAAGAAGTAAGACCAAGGGATACAGCAGGAAGAACAATTCAGAGAGCCCTGGATTTTAATCAAAATGCTCCCACTAACTAACAAAACAATCCTAGGGACTTAGTGTCAAAAATCCAGAGATGGGATCATAAATAAGAGCCCTTTGAGAACTACAAAGTGTAACATCAGCATAAAGCAGCTCTTTCAGTCCTTCAATGGTCAGTTGTGTTTTCTTTGTCAAGTTCCTAAATGTCAGGGTAGGAGGAGCTCCCGTCCAGACACAAGAACCCGGCACAGACAAGGAACTCTTGTTCGATGATACAGCTGACTATTTGTCTTTAAACTAACATTTATGTGAAATACATTTAAATAGTTCTAGAATGTGATTTCTATAATGCTACTTCAGAAAGAACTAAATGCAACAGATTTCATTATAATATGTCTTGAATCCGTAAAGACAGATTCTTTTCTGCTTTATGGTTAAGCCATTGCAGCTACAGCGAGCAGAACATATTCTAAGGGAATCAGAAGTAGAACCTTGCAAAGAACTAAGCATCTCAGTACCACCTTCTGGCTTAGTCCTGCCCAAATTAAAAGCTATGGATAACTTCTCTTGACCGGATTCTCTAAATTGTAAATTTCATGCACTACCCGTGAAATGATGTGTGTTCCTAGCCCCAGGAACACCCAGAAAAATAAGAAACAAGTTGTCCTCTGCAGCTTATGGAGGAATGCTCTCATCAGAAGAGCAAGTGGGCACAGGGCAGCACATCCCTGCCACCCCACTACCTCCTTCCACACACTGCATTCTGACCACTTGGCAGTAAGATGTGTTATGCGAGCAGCACAGGCTGCTTTGGGGGGAGGGGGTGGTAGGAAAAAAAATGAGTTCAGTTCAAATGACTGGCATTTTTCTCATTTTTAAGATGTCACATTTTGCATTGTTCTTTTTATTTCACGGAGAAGAGAAACATTGTAATTCTGTTTAAGTTCTCAGAATACTCTAGTATAAGCACAAACATAAAACAGTTGAATTCTCCTTCTAAACTCATGATCACTAAGAAAAGCCTGAATTCCACTTCTCCAAAGAGACATTACATTTCCATCAAGCTGTGAAAACATTATCTGAGTTGGTCCCAGTGCCTGGCATGGTTTCTCCTGTCCCTAGGGACAAGCTTGCTCCTCTCCTTCCTGTGTCCCTGGAGTTGTGCCTGGGTCATTCTGTAGATGGCAATCATGTCAATGACCATTTTAAGAAAGCAAGACAGATAAGAAGGGGACTTGCACAGGAGATGGAGGACCCTCTGCCCTCATTCCCCATGGGCCAGGCTGCAGTGGCCCCAAACCTCCACGAAGCCACCACCTCATGTTGTACCCGTAAACTCCCACTGCACACAGTCCTGCTGTGCAAACCGAATGTTATTTCAGAGGAGCAGAGGGTATTTAAAACTCTGGGTGAATTTATCAATGTACTGAATGCAACCTGAAAGAAAACGTGATTTATCTTTCTCAAAGCATATGGGACTTAAAATTCATCTTCATTTATTTTAACACATTAGTCTTAACAAATTCAACCCACAGAGTTTGGATCAATTTATAATTAATAAGACTTGCCATTATACTTAACCCACAAATCCAAAAACATGAAGCATAAAGGTATGGCTTCATTTGACATCATGTGTTTTCCTCAATTTGTTTCTCGGTATCAGAAAAGCTCAGTGAGGTGTGGGAACATCTGGTCCCTTCAGTGATGCTGAAAGTGCTTTTTCCTATCCCATGGATCTTACTTGCTTCTTTTCTTTCTTTCTTTTTCTTTTTTTTTTTTTTTTTTTTTGTTACTGGGGATTGAGACCAGGTGTGCTTAACCACTGAGCAACATCCCCACCCTTTTTTCCATTTTACTTAGAGACAGGGTCTTAATAAGTTATTTAAGGTCTCCCTAAGTTTCTGAGGCTGGCTCTCAACTTGCAATCCCCCTGCCTCCCAAGCCACTGGGATCACAGGTGTGCACCACCATGCCCAGCAATTTTTAACCATCACTCATCTATTGACCACAGCTTAAGGTGAAAGGGGGGCCAATTTGATTCAGCAAAAGTAATTTTCCTCCCCAATGAAATAACATACTAGGAAAAGGAAGCCTCCCAGATTTTTCTAAGATTAGGTCTCACAAACAACGTGGTCAAGCCCCTGGCTACGTTATCTGGTGCTTTTCTTTAATACTCAAGGGACACAAAGGCCAGAAATCCTATCAGCGAATCCTGTTACCCTGAAGAAAGAAAGTCATTTCCCATCCTGAGCCCTTGAGACGGTGTCTCCTTCAGCTCACGGCTTAGGCCAGGTGGCCCTGCTGAAAGGACCTGGGCTGCTCCTTGAGCCCTGACAGGTAAGGTGAGGATCAGAGAGTGTGATGAATCTATAACGTGACAATGCAACATCACAGGCAGGAAAAGAACCATTTCAAAAGCATCCTTTTAAACATTTTATGCATAATTTATAAAACTCATTGAGAAGGTTAAAGATTTCTCTGATGTGCTTTTGATTTTTTTATTACCCACTTATTTATTTGGGAGATATTTTAAGATGCCATGTTTTGATTCCTCCTTGGAGCTAACTACTTTTTCCCCCCCTTCATTTCTGATGTTTATCTCAGATACATTTTCTGGAGATATATATCTCTTGGTAAATATCATCAATTTTTCCTTTCTGTTTTCTTTGTCTCCCAGGGTTTCCTTGGTCGAGACTGCAGTTTCTTCCAGCTCCTCTCCTTGGTTCCTAGTTTTTTCAGTTCCCTTCTGGGAAACCTGATGGCTAAATTGACTGAGCCCAGACTCAGCATTTGATTCTCAAAACCATTTAGTTCAAGGGCAGAGAAGCAGGTGAGACTTGGAGACACTGGTTACCCAGCAAGTGAGACCAGTACAAGGTGAGGCAGAGCCAGCCTGCACACCTGCTGGAGGGGAGTTTCTCCAGATGATGGGGGACAAGTTTACAAAGTCACTCAGCCTTCAGTCAAGTTCAGATCTGAGTGTATGACTGACAGTGCAAATCAGATCCGACCTTCTATTCTGTCCTTTGTGAAAATGATTGGTGTTGGGATCAATTGTCATTGAATGTAAAAAATAAGAGCATATTCTGTGTGCATATAGTGAATCTTGCTCTTTTCACATTACCGGGCACCATGTGGTCAGTCACAATGCTATACAGAGTCCATGGAGGCAGGCAATGACCCTGGTCCCATGCCCTCCTTACCTTGGATTTGCCCTTGCTGTAACAGGCTTTCCTGGTGGCCTCGTCACACCCCCACTCCACGGCCTGTAGAAAACATCAAAGCAACAGCAAATGTTATGGCTTTGATTGACAAAAGGGGGACATTAAAGAAGGCTTTGATAACCAGGTTAGAAAATGCAGGTGCACCCCACATTGACACCTGGATAGGATAAAGCACAATGCATGAAATCCAGCCATGGGCTGACATTTGGGATCCAAATCTAAGCCTTGAAAGGACTCATGAGCAAGAATTTGCTTTCTAAAGCTGGTAATGGGAGTTTGGGATCTAGTCCCTGTTAGAGACAAGTTAATGAGCTGACTGAAGGGAAATCAGGACAATAAAACCACATGACACACCCAATGGAGACTGAAAGGAGGGACCCAGAAACACAAGGCCCTAAATGCTCACTTAGACCTGAAGAATTCTTTGTAAGAGAACGTCCCTCTTCCATATTCCTAGATGACGAGTGAGGGAAGCTTTGCATGTCCTTACATATATATATATATATATATATATATATATATATATATATATATACACACACACACACATGACAGTCAATACCTAGCTCGTGCAAAGAGCCCATCCATCTACTGCTACCCTCTAATACCAGCAATTTTCATGTTGTTATTAGCTTTGACTAAATATTGAGAGCCAAGACATTTCAATGTTTTTCTCTGACTCCAAATCTAATCCATGCTGATCAATTTGAGATGTACATCTTCACACATGAAATCACAAACAGAATATGTGATGAGTGAAAGTAGCAGAAAGCTCTTGCTCCATAGGAAGAAATGATGCCTGTACACATTGATACACTGAGATTGTGAATCATTTTGAACAAGTTGGAGCATCTGAGTTGTCTTATTTTTCTATTACTGAACAGCGTGTAGATTTTTATAGGGTGAAAATATTTTCTCCAATTCCTCAACTTCTATTACAATTATTTTCTGGGTTATTATTTGGATTGGATCGCTGAAGAAACTGAGATGTATACCAGTGAAGTCATTATCCGGAAAATGGCTAAGTGAGAGAATATTTTGTTAATTTAGACTAATGTTAAATAATAAACTAAACTAAACCAAATAAAAACTAATATCAAATGATATGAAGGAAAATACTGACTTTACCCTTATTGCTAGTGATTTTTTTTTTCTAATTCTCCTATGCTTGGGAGAATAATAAAGTCAAGCTGACAACTTATCTAATATCCTCCGTGCTCCAAAGAACATTACATAACAGAGATTAAGTCATAACGCACTGCATCTTGTCTAACTTATCTAACTTGGCAAACATAGTACATAAGAAAAGATTCCAGAGAGAACCACGAGAGAGTCTTGAACAGAAACAACACTGTCACTGTTCTCCCTGGTGCAGACTTTGGGGACTTCTGTCCCTGTCAACATCAGATAAGAGAATTCCTGATCCTTTCTGTGATGTTTTCCTGTGCTGATGAAGGGTCACACTTGTGAAGTATCAGCTAATCAGCCTCTGATGCAGCTGAAGACAAGCTCCATCCAGGATGGCCAGTGCTTCTCACAAAAGTGATGACACTCTGAAGGAGAGGCAGGGCACAAGATCCAGGGGTGTGTCTACAGATCCCGGGAAGTGAAGAGGAGGCAAAGGGGAAAAGGAGCCTGTGCCTCCCTGAGATCTCTTTTTAAAGCTCGCTCTGTTGTTTTTATGTAAATAAAGATATGTGTGTCTTGTGTTTACTTAAACTGAAAACAGGACGTGACATACTCTTTTAGCACCTTTGAACTCCTCACAACTGTCATTTTATGTCATCCGAGGACACTGTGCTGTAAGTCAGCAAGGAACCAGTGTTCTATAATTACTAGGAATATTTCAGCTAAAAAGGAATCCATAGTGGCTCTCCTTGGTCCCGTGGTTTTGCTGGCTATTAGTGGCCTCTTCCGCAAACACAAGAACTATGACAAAGTGGGTTCCTCCCAAGATTAAGGGGGAATAGTGTTTGTCACGGGCCATCAAAACCATTCAGACCCTGTTGCCAACGTGGAGAACAAACAGCTTCTCAAGTCCACCTGGTGCTCAGGCAGCCTTCTCGTTTTCAAGATAAATATTGGCTAAGGACTGGAAAAGGGAAAGTAATTGAAAAAAGAATGTGGGAGTTTTCATAAACATTTCACTACTTTACCCAGTCTACTGAAAATAACCACTGCTCACACAAGTTTATCAGACCAACAGAAAATAAGACAAGTATTATAGATTTTTCTGAAGACAATTTTTTAAAGTAGAAAAATGAATTTCCAAAGGCATTTTTATTACAGGGTCATTAGCATGCAAATAATATTCAAATCCAGAATTCATTAAAGATATAGGTTTTCTGTGGATTCACTTCAGACAGAAGATGGAATCTAGACAAGTTTCATATTAAGGATAGGACTTTATTGCAGAAAATAGGAGGGATAAACACATACCATTTGGTATCACAGAACTATAAAAAGAATGCAGTGAGCAAAAGGGACTTTTCCAGATTACATGAGAATTGAGTTCTAGATTAATCCCATAGTGTCTTTCTTATCACTCAGTAAACTGGACTTTGCCCATTGGATCACTTGGCATTATGGAAGGAAGAAATAGTCCATAGGACACCAACACAGATATCAATGGCACTTTCCTATCTCAGATCTCATTTCCCCAAGTTATCCACTCCTCCATTTGAACTTAGTTTCCTTTTAAACCTGGTCAGGAATCTTCTATTCTGCTAGATCCATCCTAATCAATTGAGTCCCTTTTAATCAAACCCTCTCTTTCTATTCTCAATGTAGACTTTTGTTATCCAATTGTTGTGGTTTGAATCTGAGGTGTCCCCCAAAGCTTCTGTGTCCGTGCAGAAATGTTCAGAGGTGAAGTGACTGGATTGTGAGAGCTGTAACCTCATCAGTCTATCCTGGTGTGAATGGACTAACTGCATGGTCACTGAAGGCTGGAGGAGGGGGGTCCCTGGGGTGCCCTGAGGCTGCAGGTTTCTTGTGGTGCCTTCCCCTTTCCCTCTCTGCTTCCTGGATGCCATGAGTGAGCTGTTTTCCTTGACCATGATGCTTGGCCTCTCCTTGGGTCCAAAATGGTGAAGCCAGTTACCACCCACTGTTTTTTTAGAAAACATGAGCCCAAAATGACCTTTTTTCTCTCCAAGCTGTTCTCGAGGTGTTTTGATCACAACAATGAAAGTTTCCCTAAACCCATCCACATATCATTATTTTGGAACAAAATCCACTACTGGTTTGTGAAGCTGTCTTACTGCTTGTCTTCAGATTCATTTCCAACACTTTCCACCCAAACCTACCTTTATGACGACCAAACAAATGTGAAGGCATCCTACATTTCAGATTTCAATGCAACTCTCATGGACCTTTTCTCCTGAGACTTATCTTTTTAAGAGCTTTAAGTTTTGTCATCTTTTATCCTTACTTATTGCATGTTAGCCCAGGAGAGACAAGAATATTAATTCTTTCTCCTATTCAACATTTAGTGTTCATTGTATGTTTCGTTGGAGCAGACCTAGCCAAAATACTGTGGTTACTTGAGGACTCAAAGACTATCTACGGTGGGCAAAGAGCTTGAAACATCTGTGTTTAAAAGATACAAATATTTCCTTTGGGCTCAATTGTTTTCTGTGAATACGTTTAAAAAAAACATGTCTGCTATCAATTCATAAAAGTTTTGCTTTATTCTTATATACCTCTCTTCCATTTAACAAAGTCATTAAATATCTATCAGATATCAGACATAAGGTACTCTGCTATATAGTGATTGATGGAAGGAAAAGCAGACATATTGATCACAATTGCACACATCAGATATGAATTTACAGTAAAATGTAAGCAGATTTCCTAGGCCTAGACAGCACAGTATTGGATATAAGAAGGCAACAGTGTTCGTTTGCCTTGTTAGGGAAGCCACATGCTGGTTCTTTCAGATCCAGTTGTACACTGAGCTTACCGCATCCTCAACTCTTAGGAAGCGACAGTGCTACAATCAGGGTATGCTTACAGAAAACCCTTTTATATCTGCAGAAGACCTCGGGGAGTAAGGTAGTGCCTGCTGTTTCATGGTACAACACACCTCACTGTTCCACATGCAGACTTGCTCCAGTTGTGATAAATGGATCTGTGATCTCAGGATAAAATCAGATATTGGAAAGAAAAAAAGATTGGCTCTTTTGATGTATGTGTAACATACATATAAATCCACAGTTCTCAGAAATATATAAACAAAGCTATGCATTATTACATTCCACAGCAAGAGAAGTTAATTAGACAGGGAGTAGCAATGGCAGATACTTTTCATAAAAATGAAGAGAACAACATTCAAGGCAGATGGGACACTGCTCTTTCAGCAGATGGCTCTGCTAATTAGATACTGGCAAAAGATAACATTTAAAAAAACTAGTGTAATTACACAGTGCCAAAAATTAACAACCACCTGAGGGCTTTTTTTTTTTTCATATGTTTGCATTCATATTCTTATGTCATGTTTTTCTGTGACACACTGGAGAATGTTACATTGTGGTGACGATTATAAACAAATTGCCAGGGAATGCAAGGCCATATCTTTGTTTGGAACAAAAGACAAGTCGGAACTTGCAGCTGTGACTGTTGTGTGACTTGAATACAATGTGGACCTGGTTATCCCTGAGTGGGGTCATCTTCTCTCTTCCCTCGGCTGGCCGCCGTGCCATTTACAAAACAACTGAACTTGAGTTCAAAATCATTGTGTGCAGTCAGAGTCACAAAGTGGCACATACTTTAGTCACTTTTCAAGTAACTGCCCAACATTCCCCTCTGCCTTTCCTTCTTAGTGTGCATTAAACACATGTGTTCATCTTCCATATTAATGCAGTACACTTACATTTCCCTTCAATCAAATAAGGCAAGTCCAATTCTTCTCTCTTGGCAACCTCTAAATCAGAAGGCAGGAAGAGGACTTTGGTTATATCATCTAAGCCCCGTTTTTTTGATGCTCATTATCAATCCCAAATTAGGGAATACATCTTAACCTTAGAGATTCCCACGAAAGT